ATCTTCAACAAACTATTACTATTACTTGAATTTCAATGGTTGGGATCATGAGTCAATTGAAGCTACACAACCATCGAAAACCTGAATGCTCTGGACTGCCGTTTCATCATAGTATGGGAATCCTCAGCAGTGCTTGTCCACGATCCCACCTCGCGAGATTCCAACCCAGGACCTATCTGTCTCATGTGCGAGCGTTTAACCACTAGACCACTGAGCCAGTCGGCATCAAACGGTGTTAATGTCTAACTTCAACCAATCCACGAAATCGCGCGACACATCCACCATTGTCATAAGTCAGTTACTATCTCACAACAGACCTGGTTGAACTCCACTGGTTACTGCTTCTCACTAGAATTCCAGGAAATACCTCTTGAAGCCAGTCACTAGTGAGCACATGTTAATTCATATCAGAAGGGTTTTGTGAATATTATAGTAATTTCAATGGTAGAGATCATGAGCCAATCGAAGCTAGATCACTGTTATTATTATCATTATTATTAATTGAGTGACCAAACAAACACAACCGTAATTACTGACTATGATACAGTTAGATGATTTGACAATGTGGAATTTATTCCCAACCCTCTTAAAAGCTAAAATAATTTTAATTTCATTAAATTATATACGGTTTATTTGGTTATTTTCCTATTCGCTAGTGATAACCTATCAAATTGGTATATGGATCACGATAAATATCTCCTACTGATTTAAACAATATAATTTATAAACAATTTAAAAACTAAACAAACAAACAAACAGTTCGTCAATTGACTGATTCATCGATTTGTTTTCATCTTCCATATTTCCTTTATCCATCTATTATAAAAGAAAAAAATAGACGGAGAGATATTCAACACGATCTAATTCCACCGTCTAGAATTATTATTTTAATTAAAAAAAAGAAAAAAAAAGAGAAAACATGAATGAAAACTAAAACTAGACAGTAGTTCTATGTTGTTTTCTTTTTTGTATTAGTTTATTTACTTTAAATTTTAATTGATTATACATAAAAATGTGTCTTGATCCTTTCTATTTTACTATTAAATTGTCTATCATGTCTGAATGAAATGGAATACAAAAGAAATGTATTCATATGTAGTTGAAATAGAAAGAGAAAGGGAGTTGAAGAGAACAAATACAATTATGAATGAGATCTAAATATTATAACTATCATTAAAATCTTAATCATCACCATCACCACTACGATAACAACAATAATTACTGTTAGTATGACCACAGTATGACATTGATTGTACCAACGGTACATATTTGAAATGATTATAGATAAATAAAGTCTTGAAAAAAATGTAAATAATAATGAGAAGGAACTCATCATCATCATCACTATCAAAAATGATTAAAGGAGCAATAGTTTAGAATTTAATTAAACACCTTTTTGAGCACAGCATGATTTTTACAACAACAATGGTTATATTAAAGAAGCTGACGATAATGATTGTACTGACATGTATTTATTAAAGAATCAACATGTTTACTAACCAAAGGAAAGAAACAAACGATAAATTTAAAGAAAGAAAAGTTTTTTGTTTAGTTGTTTGCCAACAGTTTGATTATATTTCCTCATTCTTACTCTCTCTCTCTCACACACACACACTCTCTCTTGCTGTGTGATTTTATTTTATGTGACAAACTGACATTGTTGTAACCATAAGATTCAATGAATTAACAATTAATTATTAATAATAGTAGCTTAACAATGTTTAGTTTACTTTCTAATGTATTGTTGGAGTTGATTTTCAAGAAGAAAAAGCAATCTTGTTGAGCATATGAAAATACAGGTGTCATTGATGAATTTAGTACAGGATAAAGAGAAAGCTTCTGTATATCATATGGATATCAAATATATTATAATACTGTAGGAGATGAACAGATGAATATATGCGTACATAGAGAATCACCTACTTTATACTTAAGACAATTATCCAAATAACATGAAAATGAGTTATTATTATTATTATTATTATCATTGTAAATTTCAATCATTCTATTACTTTTATGAAGAGATGTATTAATTCAAATATTGGACTATGGTCAGTCCAGTGCTTCCTGATTTTCCATGGTGGTCTAGCTTTAACTGACTCATGAATTCAACTATCAAATTATTTTTAATTAACCATGAATTTCAGTTAAAACGATTTCTATAGATTTGTTTAAGTGATCGGTCAGAGGATGAATATCTCAGTTTATAATAATCCCTTCAAAGTTAAATTTGTAATGTAATAAAGTCCAGGTAAAAGAAGAGGGTTGGGTTTAGGGTCAGCAACCCCATCCCGTAGGAAACAATTTTGCCACCAAAAAAAAACGCTAACCAGAATAAACAACAATATAGTAAACACTAAAATAAACAAGGTAATAATCAGGATATCATAATTTGTAAAGAACTAACAAGTTTTTGATTTGATCTCCTATTCAACTGTTGCCAAGTTAACAGTTTTTTTTTCAGAGATATTTTCTTATTTTCATGTAAGTAATATTAATAAACATGCAGAGAAGTTCAATGGGTTGTTATTGATTGTTTACATGATATTCGCTTAACTATGATTTATCATATTGCTAAGAAATAACTACTCTTAATAGTAAACGGGATATATCTCAATGAATGTACTGAATTCTTACAAAAATAATGATGAATAAATTAATATTAGAATTTGCTTGGTATTGTTTACTTGAATCTTCCCATTGTTATTTACGACTGTAATTGATCAGTCTCATATTAGCATATGTGCATACTGTGTGTATTGCCTCGATATTGCCTTCATTCATCCCATTACACAAGCAATTGGCTGTCAGGACTCAGTAGCTAAATGGATAACGCGATAGCATTTGAAACGAACAGTACCGAATTCGAGTTCCAGCGTGAACATCAACTCTGAGATGCAGGTACATCCAGCTGACAAGTCCCAAATAGAATGGAACGCAAGTTCTGGATTCCACCACTAGCCACTATCCATCTTTATTTAATATTAGAATATTGTATTATTTTATAAAATCGAATTACTATTTATAACTTTAGATAATAGTAATTAGACAGACTTATTTCCTTATTTTATACTAGTCAATCAATCAATCCGTTTTAACTATCAGCTGCCGTACAAATTTAAGTATAATATACAGATAAATTGACAGAGAATAAGTGCTTTTAAAGAACTTTTTCTCTTTGTACTCTTCTCTTTTTTGTTCCATTGAATGAATTCCCCTTTAATGTATAACTATTATTTAACATTTTAAACTGAACTTATATGGGAATATTAAAATTGGCAGTATTTACAACTGACTTCTAATCAATCATGAATCCTTTTTTTTAGTGTTTTGTTTTTACCTTTCGCATTTATTCAATTGAGGTAGTAATAATCATATAGATAGACAATGATTATGATCTAATTCTTAGAAAAGTAAAGACGCTTATGTTTAAAGCTGATGTATACTATATAGAAAATGATAGTGATCAATTATATGCATGAAACATAGATAAGCTCTAAAGTTTTAATTAATGTAATGTGTTATAATGAATCATATGTAATTACTTATAATGGTACTTTAATAGAATGACTTTTTTAGATAATAACTTCGAGGATAATTGCAAATGAATGGGAATTATTTTGAAGGTAGGCAATAACAAAATTGGCCCAGTGATTTCAAGGTTAGGCAATTGAGTATGAGGTCGAAAGTTCTAGGTTCGAGTCCTGCGTGTAGGACCATGAATGTGTACTATTGAAGAATCTCATATCAGAACATAATGACCGTTCAATGCATTTAAGTTTTCACTGGTGGTCTAACATTGATCGGTTAGTGGTATTCATAAAAACGTATCTGTAATAGCCAGAAATCTAAGAATTCATTATCTTTTTTTTTCGATTACAAAACTCCAAGTCTATAAAATATGCAAATGTAGTATAATTATCATTTTTAATGGTATCAGTTTAAATTAAATAATAATAGGTTAAATGAACATGACAAGTTACTGACAATGTTGTTATGATCGAAGATTCAAGTTATTCTTAAAACTATTCAGTCCAGTTTATTCTTTCTTATCATAGTACTTAGTAAACGTATGACTTTTTAATTATATCATTATTAAGTATTCGTCAAACTTTCTGAGTTGAAATAACGTGATTGTCAGTTTTAATAAGTTGTAGATTACTGCTAAATATCTAACATTGGAAAAGATCATTGAATGCATAAGTATTCTCGGTTATTGTTTCTATCGAATTTATTCGTATCCAAAAGGTCTAGGAGCATTATTTACACAGTTTATCAAATAATCTCTAGACGAAAATCCTTCTATGAACATAGTATTGTCAATTAGATATGTAGACTACAACTTCTGAGATTTATTGCTATTGTTATCTTTATCACCAGTTATACAAATTTAGAGTAATATGAAGATGATTGAAATTGAAAAAAACTTGGTAGGCAGTTGATTTATACTATCTCTCCAATCGATCAATTTATTAGTAATCCCGAGTTTTGTAGGTTGAATAAAAATTATATTTTTGGTTTACATTTATTATAAACATATAACTATTAATATCAGAAGGGGTTTTGTGGATATTATAATAATTTTAGTAGTTGAAATCATGAGTCAATTGAAGCTAGACCAGCATGGAAAACCTGGAAGCACTAGACGGCCGTTGTAAGGTAGTAACTCACTGAAGACATTGGTAGATGTGTCACTCAATTTCATGGATTAGTTAAAGTTAGACATTAACACCATTGGATGCCGATTGGCTCAGTGGTCTGAAGGTTAGGCGCTCACACGCGAAACCGACAGGTCGTGGGTTTGAATCTCATGAGGCGGTGTCGTAGATGCATACTGCTGAGGAGTCCCACAATAGGACGAAATGACCGTCTAGAGTATTCATGTTTTCCATGGTTGTGTAGCTTCAATTGACTCATGATCTCAACTATTAATATAACTATTTAACTAAATAATATATTCATTATTTTGCGAGAATAATCCATGTGTTTATATAATTTAGATACTTATAAAATACTATCCAAATCTGATGATGATCAATTCAATACTTCTGATCAATCCATAAATCTCTCTAAACAATTCTTATATTCAAATCAATATCAATCAGAGAACTATCATCATAAACAAACATTAATACCTGAAATACATAATTTTCATGAACATCATAAATCTGATATGACTAATCAAATCTTATTAGATTCATTACATATGCTCTGGTCAAATCAATGTTCTGTATTGAATTCATCAGAGTTAATAAAACTTTTTAAACAATATATAGAATCATATCGTCATAATGTATCAAGTACTAAATCATTATCAATACCAACATCCATAACTACTAACCCTAGTAATACATCAACTGTTAACAATAATTTCATTAAAACTAATGAAGGATTAATAAGAAATCATAATTCAACCAATACTTGTCATTTATATGAACATAATCCATCATTTCTTCAAACAATTCCTTCAAATATAATCAATTCTAATTCTAATAAAGAAATAAACGATTCCTTGGATAAATTTACTTCAAATTTAATAAGTAATAATATGAATAACAATATTAAATCACATTCTTACAATCAACACCATTTAATCCATAATGGAGTTGAGGAAAAAACATTAAACAATAGAAGTGAAACAATGAATACGATTGTTCAACAGTCTAACCGTGATACTAGTGATACTACTACTACTGCTACTATTCATACTAATACTACTACTACTAATAATAATAATGATAACAATAATGATAATGATGATGACAGAATGTCACCAAACCTTCATACAGTGACAAGACGTAGAAAACGTCGTATTTTATTTAGTAAATTACAAACTGCTAAACTTGAAGAGTGTTTCAATGAACAAAGATATTTAACAGCTTCTGAAAGAGAGCATTTAGCTAGAATATTGAATTTAACACCGACACAAGTAAGAAATTTTGTAATTATATAAATGTACAATATTTTACCTCTTTTTACGTGAATGTTTACGTTATTCTACAGGTTAATGTGTATAGTTAATTAGCTAATTGACGATTCTAATTTGATGTTCAGTCAATTATTTATTATCATTTCATTATTTGACCAAAAATATACAACAAAGTGCCCTCAAATGCCGTGGTATGGCCGAGAATGGGGAGAGTCCGCTCTCCCTCTCGAAATGCTCTCACATGACCACGCGCATACAGCCTCTACCAGGGAAGTCCTACTCACTGCCTTCTCACAGCGGGGGTGTTGTTTACAAAATAGAGAGGACGAAAAGCGAATGTATGGCGCTTTAACCGGATCTCAAACCAAACCATTGGCGCACATCGGCTCCAGTATCCTGAGGGAACAAATGGCGTATGAACCAATCGTTGGTCACCGGCTACCATGGGACTGCATTTCCTCACGTTGCTCCACTGCCTTGTGGATCAGACCTTTAGGTCAAAGGTTCGGGGTGTGGCCCCCTAAGAAAACCACCTGCTTCGGTTTGGGCACCCGGGCAGTATCACAGCCCTCAAACAAATCGAATGATTTATGTGGCGCATATCTACTTGGTGCCTCCTTGTACCAATGTTTATGTGTTTAAATAAATAGATAAAAATAATAAATACAACAAAGTCGTATCAGGAATGAATCTATGATAGAATCAAATTTTTTAAATACAACGAGTACTAGTATGGGACTCCTCAGCAGTACGCATCCACGATCCCGCACCACGCGGGGCTCGAACCCAGGACCTACTGGCTTCGCGCGCGAGCACTTAACCATTAGACCACTGAGCCGGCATCCAACGGTGTTAATGTCTAACTTCAACCAATCCACGAAGTTGCGCCATCGAACACCAATGTCTTCAGTGAGCTGATATCTCACAACAGACCTGGTTGAACTCCACCGGTAACGGCTTCTCACTAGAACTCCAGGAGTTTTTCCTGAACTCAGTCACTAGTGAGCAGTTGATTATTATCAGAATGGGTTTTGTGGAGAGTTTTAATTAATCAGTTAATCAGTCACAAGGAATGTAGAATTTGGTATATATGCAAATCGGTTCAATTTACCACACCATATTAGTTTAATAATAAATCGAAGAATAGTATAAGAAACAATAATATCATTGGTAGTAGGAAAGATTAAATGCGGATAATTTAATCTGAAAAGGAGTGAAGTTGTGAAATAAAGAAGTATAAGATAATTTCGAAGCTCAAGATCTAAAAGAAGAAGAAAGTGAACGAATCTGAGATATATCATTTAATGTCTCTAACTATTGGTACAGTAATCATGATGATCACAATCAAGTATTTTCCACCTACCACCAACACGGCTTGGTTCAATAGCCAATTACTTGATAGACTGACGTTATGTTTCGTTCTAGTCAACTTACTTTTAGGCCGGTTAACATTAATTATCAAGGTTGGTGGTACGTGAGACATGTTCCAGCCACTTCAGTCAAAGAATCAATATGTTTTCAACTGATTTGTCACTTTTACTAAATACCCTATGCCCATTCGCACTACCGACGACTTTGTCGTTCCACTAGACAGGAGCAATGCTTTAAAGACTGACCAATAACCTGCGGCCTTCTCCTTTCATGGACCAAGTTTCAGAGTCATAAAGTAATACAGAGCGAACTGTTGTGGGACGATACTCATCGTTTGGTTGACAGATGGACGTCTCCACCATATAAGTAACGCAAGTTGGGGAAAGCCAGGCGAGCTTTCGGATTTGTGCTGAGATTGCATTAGACAACAACACACCAGTGAAATGGTTGATGTCATTAACTATTTCACTCTCTGCGATCTAGGTAATGACAGATCTGTTTTGAAGTCGCATTTCACATTTGGTGGCTGAGAAACGTACCCCAGACACGATCGCCCTTTTACTCAAGGTGCTCGGGAGACTACATTCTGTCCAGATCACGATTAGACAGGGTTGTGTTATCTCCAACTCCGCCTGGAGTCCCTCCGGGGGCTACTGCCGGTCCCAAGCCCGGATAAAGCAGGAGGGTTGGGCATGGGGTTAGCGTCCCCATCCCGTAGAAAACTAACTCGCTAAAAAAACGCTAACCAGAAAAAATTATTCAAACCTTTTAAACTCTGCCCTGGGAGTCAGAAGATCTTCACTTAGAAGAATTATGACGCCTCATGATGAAAGCCGAATCCCTTCGGAAGTTACGAGGCCGATGCCCCTTCTGACAACCAGAGCGACCATTCATTTAGGTACATGGAATGTTCGTACAATGTGGGACTCCAGGCGGAGTTGGAGATAACACAACCCTGTCTAATCGTGATCTGGACAGAATGTAGTCTCCCGAGCACCTTGAGTAAAAGGGCGATCGTGTCTGGGGTACGTTTCTCAGCCACCAAATGTGAAATGCGACTTCAAAACAGATCTGTCATTACCTAGATCGCAGAGAGTGAAATAGTTAATGACATCAACCATTTCACTGGTGTGTTGTTGTCTAATGCAATCTCAGCACAAATCCGAAAGCTCGCCTGGCTTTCCCCAACTTGCGTTACTTATATGGTGGAGACGTCCATCTGTCAACCAAACGATGAGTATCGTCCCACAACAGTTCGCTCTGTATTACTTTATGACTCTGAAACTTGGTCCATGAAAGGAGAAGGCCGCAGGTTATTGGTCAGTCTTTAAAGCATTGCTCCTGTCTAGTGGAACGACAAAGTCGTCGGTAGTGCGAATGGGCATAGGGTATTTAGTAAAAGTGACAAATCAGTTGAAAACATATTGATTCTTTGACTGAAGTGGCTGGAACATGTCTCACGTACCACCAACCTTGATAATTAATGTTAACCGGCCTAAAAGTAAGTTGACTAGAACGAAACATAACGTCAGTCTATCAAGTAATTGGCTATTGAACCAAGCCGTGTTGGTGGTAGGTGGAAAATACTTGATTGTGATCATCATGATTACTGTACCAATAGTTAGAGACATTAAATGATATATCTCAGATTCGTTCACTTTCTTCTTCTTTTAGATCTTGAGCTTCGAAATTATCTTATACTTCTTTATTTCACAACTTCACTCCTTTTCAGATTAAATTATCCGCATTTAATCTTTCCTACTACCAATGATATTATTGTTTCTTATACTATTCTTCGATTTATTATTAAACTAATATGGTGTGGTAAATTGAACCGATTTGCATATATACCAAATTCTACATTCCTTGTGACTGATTAACTGATTAATTAAAACTCTCCACAAAACCCATTCTGATAATAATCAACTGCTCACTAGTGACTGAGTTCAGGAAAAACTCCTGGAGTTCTAGTGAGAAGCCGTTACCGGTGGAGTTCAACCAGGTCTGTTGTGAGATATCAGCTCACTGAAGACATTGGTGTTCGATGGCGCAACTTCGTGGATTGGTTGAAGTTAGACATTAACACCGTTGGATGCCGGCTCAGTGGTCTAATGGTTAAGTGCTCGCGCGCGAAGCCAGTAGGTCCTGGGTTCGAGCCCCGCGTGGTGCGGGATCGTGGATGCGTACTGCTGAGGAGTCCCATACTAGGACGAAACGGCCGTCCAGTGCTTCCAGGTTTTCAATGGTGGTCTAGCTTCAACTGACTCATGATTTCAACTTGTGAAATTTACTAAAATCTCCACAAAACTCATTCTGACAACGAGTACTGTCCAATACATGTTTATGATATGATATAAATAGGAAATGTTTTTCTATTTAAGATACAAGCATGATATACACGATTGACTGAATCACAAATCCATATTCAGTGGAATGATAGCATTATCGACCACTGTATAATCAAATGATTTCCTTCGACTTCATCTCTTGTTAATAAATAGGAATGAATTAATATTCTCTAAACAAATAAATTCTCGAAGTAAATGCCAGTATCCATTAATCTAAAAGGTTTCAATTTATCGGAGAACGATGAAAGCTCCATAACCTAATCATCCAGCTCAGAGAACAAAACTCCGTCAAAACCAACCATTTGAGCTACAAATCACTAACTCATTAGAAATCCCTGTACATTATCTACCACATTTTATTGCTGGACCATGTACTTTTTTAAAAATACAAGTTCTAACTTACAAAATGATTAGGATTAAGTTTTTGTGAAAGTTATTTGGAACAATTATCTAAGAAATTTTTTTAATAGTTGAGATTATAAGTCAATTGAAGTTACACAACCATCGAAAATATGAACGCTCTGGAAGGTCGTTTCGTCCTATTGTGGGACTCCTCAGCAGTGCGCATCCACGATACCGCCTCGTGAGATTCAAACCCACGACCTGTCGGTTTCGCGTGTGAGCGCCTAACCTTCAGACCACTGAGCCAATCGGCGTCCGGTGGTGTTAATGTCTAACTTCAACTAATCGACGAAATTGAGCGACTCATGTACCAATGTCTTCAGTGAGTTACTATCTCACAACAGACTCAGTTGAACTTCACTGGTCACTACTTCTCACTTGAACTCCAGGAAATACCTGTTGAAACCAGTGTAAGAAATCAAAAAAATAGATGATCAACCATAGAGTCAAATTTATTGCTCATACATTATAAGTGGATCTGTAATAGATAGCTAAGTTCTTAGTACGCTTAATGGTTTATGAATTATGGAAATGAGCATTCAGTTCCTGGAATTTAATATAACACACTGACACACACACAAAATATTTTCTGTAACTCAACTATAAATTAATAAGGAATTTTAATATTTCATTCTAATAAATAGGTTAAAATTTGGTTTCAAAATCATCGTTATAAAATGAAACGTGCAACGCAAACTGATGAAATTTCCCCAAATACATTCATAAAAAGATCAAATAAAATCACTCCTTTAATAGACTTGAATTCATCATCTTCTTGGAATTCACAATATTTAACAAATCATACAAAATGTCAATCATTAACACAACAAGAAAGAAACTCTTTATTGAATGAAATATATAATCCAAATGAATTGAATAAATTATCAAATCATGATTACATTCATCAATCAAAAAATAATCACTATGATCATTTTAAAGAAACAAATGAAAATGATAAACAACGGTATAACTCAGAACATTTAACTCAATCAATGAATTACATGGATACAGTTGAAAAATCATGGTTAACAAATTGGATTAAAATGATTTCTAATTCATATACAAATGATACTATGAGTATACAAGATACACATCATTATCATAAGTCAAAAAAGTTACGAAATCATTATGATATCTCTACAAAAATAATGAATCATTTGATTGATCAATGTAATGAAGAAGGAAGAGTAAATCAATCCACCAATATAACATCCATAGATGAACGATACAAAACAGAACAATTCAAATCATTGAAAATATCTAATGCTACAATAACATCTCAAAAATTATTACAAATATGTCAACCGGTTTTAGAAATAGATCAGTAGATTATCATTAGATAATAGATAATCAATTTCCGTCACATTTCTTTCTTTGAAAAGCTCTTTGTATAACTTTTTCGAAGCTTCTAATCAAATGAAAAATCTATCCAAATATTTACTGAATATTTCGTATTGAGTAGTATTAAATTGTTTTTTTCTTTTAAGAAGGAATTTTTTTCGATATTTTATTGAATGATGTGATGGATTCTTTTATTTGGGAAAATCAATTCACTTCAATGTCTACTTTTCAACTAAACCGATGACCTGTCGTCCTGGACATACCTCTTATTCAAATTGTTCTTTTTTTCTTCATAATTAAACGTTTGTAATTTGTGCTACTTACAAGTAATCAAACGAATTCTGTATATTTTTTCTGTGGCTAAAGAATACAATTTATGCATTATAGTATATGTCATAAGATTACCTATAATAATGATGTTTTTAATTATCGCTTCAGCAGTTAGTATGAAATACACTGAAGACTAAATCACAGATAAATCAGTAAACTCCATTTATTTATACAGTTCAGCAAGTAACATAGCACTAACTTGCATGATTATATTTCAAAGTACCATTATCAGAAATTGAAAGAGCATTAGTAACGTGGAAGCGACAATCGATGACTAACTGCTTCGACTCAAAAGGAATTTACTACGAAAATTCCATGTAAACATCAAAATTTGATACAAGTCTCTTGACTAAATTAAATGATTAGTTTCATAAAAGACTTAAAATGGATTATGAAAATTAGAATATACATAAACTTAAACACATCCATCGTAAAGTCTAGACCATTTGTAGCTGTGGTGAAATAACATCACTGTATATTATATTCTTTCGTTGAAGTCACTCCTTACAAAATTGCTTCAGTTTTTTCTAATCCAAGCTAATCGGTTGTAAATAAGTAATGTAATGTTTACGATGAAATAGTCAAATTAGTAGTACAAACTTGAGATTTTGAACTATGTATAGTAATTTTATAGCTATTGTGATTCGAAGTTATCAGCGGAAACCTATGATCTGATCACTAATACACATATCAGGACTCAGTAGCTAAGTGGGAAATGTGATGGAGTTTGAAGAGAAAGGTATAGGGTTTGAGTTCCAGGGTGAACATCAACTCTGAGATGCAGATACATCCAGATGACGGGTCCCAAATAGAACGAAACGCGCGTCCTGGATCCCACTGCTAGCCACTATCCATCTTTGCTCAAAAAGCTTATGACTTAAGGTTGTATCGAGGCAATCCACACAGGATGCACATATACCAACAAGAGACTGATCAATTACAGTTCTTAATAACAAGTAAAAAAAAACAACAAGTAAATTTACACATAATTCATATTTTGAGTTTGAATGTAACTCAAAGACCTGAAAATTGAATTAAACAATTTTAAGCAAATCAGTTGCAATAGGATATCAAATCAAGGGAAAGCTAGTGAATATTTTCGTACATGATTAACTTTCTAAAGCCCGAGTGTTATTTTATTGAATAAAATCTCAAATTTTGATACATATTTCAGCAGGGAACATACAATCAGAGTTTACGGTCATCAAATAATTGATATTTCTGCATTAAAATTTTCTCAAATGTGAATAAGTAGAACATAAAAATACCGATAACAAGATCTCAATCACGTCCATAAATTCTCAACCTGTGTAAACATTTAAATTCTCAACCTCCTTTTGACCTGAACTTAAAAAGGAAGTAAGATTAATGTTACATCTGAACGAAGTATAAATTAGTGGTAACCGCTAGAAATTATTTATGGACTATTATTACGTAAATTCCTACTGGATAACTTTTAAGTAACCAGATTTTATGTATATTCATAGTCCTCTTATCATAAGTTTTCATTTGATCTATCGGCTACACTAGTACCATTTACCATTCTTAATTTGTTAGCAACAGTCTTCTAAACTCACAGTCACTTTTGGCTTGATCCTGTATAAGTATTATTTTCCATTTTATGGTGTTATGAAGTCTGATCGCTCTGTATATAAACCATGTCTGAAATATACGATTCATATAGTGGACGCTGTTTGTGTTCTGGACTGAACTAGACAAGAAGCCACTAATACAAAGGACCAACAAGGACACAGAGTTGACTCAAGGCTACTTGTGCTGGTTAACACACCACTGGCTTGGCACAATGCCAAGGTCATATAAGTCGGTGCTTTGATTGACGATTTTATCACATGACGTTTGCAGGGTCATAAGTCATAACAATTATAAAAAAAATTAGATTTAGACTAATAATTGGTGCTCGAAGAGATATTTTAAGATTAGCGTAATAATGTACTTCAGTATAAAATTTGGTGACTAAACAGATTTGGAGCCATTGATTTTTAAGTATCATGAAGTCTTGATAGAATTCAGAAATGTGAAGATATTGACAGGCGAAATACTTTGGATAGTAAAAATTTTGAAATCAAAAGGGAAAGATTCAAAGTGAGTTAGCTTTGAAGGGATTATAGTAAAGTGTAGTTAATTTCTTAGTTTGTAAGCACTTTATGCAGACTTGTGAACAGAAAACCGGAAAATCCAGCCAGTTTCACAAATGAACGTATCGACCAAATACTCACACTTCATCTGATCTTGAAACGTAAGTAGACGTACCGACGCTTTACCATAATAGTAAATGTCGAATTAAAGGCAGCATTCAGCTCCGCTGACCGACAGGTTGAAGGGCAAACTAAGTTCATGTATCTTAAGAAAGAACTTTGCTCAAACACTAATTACGTAGTCAAAGTTTATGGTGAACCGTCAACCTTATGTAGCGTTCGTCAGGGTTGCATACTTCTTCCATCCTTAACTTTGCCATAGAAATTTTTTAGAGATAATTCTCTCATCGTCTGACTATTTAGAGATTAATGCCCGAGCGTGAGACCCACATATTAATTCGCGAAATGGAGATAACACTTACTTACTTACTTACTTACGCCTGTTACTCCAAATGGAGTATAGGCCGCTGACCAGCATTCTCCAACCCACTCTATCCTGGGCCTTCTTTTCTAGTTCCATCCAATTCTTGTTCATTTTTCTCATGTCTATCTCCATTTCCCGGCGTAATGTGTTCTTTGGTCTTCCTCTTTTCCTTTGACCTTCAGGATTCCATGTGAGGGCTTGTCTTGTGACACAGTTGGGTGCTTTCCTCAATGTGTGTCCCATCCACTTCCAGCGCTTCTTCCTGATTTCTTCCTCCACTGGAATCTGGTTTGTTCTCTCCCACAGTGCGCTGTTGCTAATAGTGTCCGGCCAATGGATCTGAAGTATTTTGCGTAGACAATTGTTAATAAACACCTGTATTTTCTGGATGATGGCTTTTGTAGTTCTCCAGGTTTCTGCCCCATACAGTAGAACTGTCTTGACATTTGTATTGAAAATCCTGACCTTGGTGTTGGTTGACAGTTGCTTTGAGTTCCAGATGTTCCTCAGTTGTAAATATGCTGCTCTTGCTTTGCCGATCCGCGCCTTCACATCTGCATCAGATCCACCCTGTTCATCAATGATGCTGCCCAAATACGTAAAGGTTTTTACATCTTCCAAATCTTCTCCGTCAATTTTGATTGAATTGGTGCATTCTGTGTTGTATCGGAGAATCCTGCTTTTCCCTTTGTGTATATTGAGACCTATTGCTGCTGCCACACTGTTTGTCTTCTCCTGCATCTGTTGTTGCCGCTACGTCTGCTTTTAGTGCCTCTGAAGGAATGTTGTCTGGTCCTGCTGCTTTGCCACTCTTGATTTGTCTGATGGCCATGCTGATTTCTTCAATTGTTGGTGGGCCAACATTGATTGGGAGGTCCGTCGGTGCTGCTTCGATGTTGGGTGGGTTCAGTGGAGCTGGTCGATTCAACAGTTCTTTGAAGTGTTCTACCCACCTGTTTTGTTGCTCTTCAATGTTGGTGGTTACCTCGCCTTCCTTGCTTTTCACTGGTCGTTCTGGTTTGCGGCGATTTCCAGAGAGTTTCTTTGTCGTGTCATACAATTGTCTCATGTTTCCTTCTCTTGCAGCCTTTTCCGCCGTCGTTGCTAAATCTTCCACATATTTACGTTTGTCGGTTCTGATGCCCCTCTTCACTTGTTTGTTTACTTCTTTGTATTCAGCTTGTGCCTTGGCTTTTTCTGCTCTTGTTCGACTGGTGTTGATTGCTGCCTTCTTCTTCCTCCTTTCTTGAATCTTATCCAGTGTATCAACAGTGATCCATTCCTTGTGATGGTGCTTCTTGTGACACAGGACCTCATGACATGTTGAAGTGATTGCCTGTTTGATCCCCTTCCAGTTGCTCTCCACAGTAGTTCCTTCTCCATTGAGTAGAACATGAAAGGCCTGGAACTTGTTGCTGAGGACTATCTTGAATTCCTTGAGTGTGTTAGTATCCCGAAGAAAGGCCGTATTGAACTTTTGTGATACTGTCTGCCCCGTTGTCCAGTGCTTCTTGAGTTTCAGTTTCATCTTGGCGACCAGTAAGTGATGATCTGATGCTATATCAGCTCCTCTCTTGGTTCTCACGTCCTCTATAGTCCTCCTGAGCGTTTTGTTGATGCAAATATGGTCGATTTGGTTTTGTGTAGAGTGATCCGGTGAAGTCCATGTGGTTTTGTGTATGCGTTTATGTGGGAATATGGTGCCGCCTATGACCAGCTTATTGAAGGCACATAGGTTTGCAAATCTCTCACCATTTTCGTTTCTTTCTCCCAGTCCGTGTCGTCCCATGATGTCTTCATATCCAGTGTTGTCCGTTTCAACCTTGGCGTTGAAATCTCCCATCAGAATGGTCAGATCCTTTGTTGGGCACTTCTCGACTATTGACTGCAGCCTATTGTAGAATTGGTCTTTAGCGTCTTCATTGTAGTCGTTGGTAGGCGCATAGCATTGGATGATGTTCATTGAAATGCCCTCTTTCTTTGTTTTAAACGAGGCTTTGATGATCCTTGGTCCATGAGATTCCCATCCTATAAGCGCATTTTGCGCTTGTTTGGACAGCATCAATGCAACTCCTTGTGTATGTGGTGCATTTTCTTCTTCATGGCCGGAGTATAACAGGAGCTCTCCTGTAGTTAGTCGTTGTTTTCCAACTTGTGTCCAATGTGTTTCACTGATCCCAAGTACCTCTAGGTTGTATCTTCTCATTTCTGCAGCAATCTGGAAGGCTCTTCCGGTGTCCCACATTGTACGAACATTCCATGTACCTAAATGAATGGTCGCTCTGGTTGTCAGAAGGGGCATCGGCCTCGTAACTTCCGAAGGGATTCGGCTTTCATCATGAGGCGTCATAATTCTTCTAAGTGAAGATCTTCTGACTCCCAGGGCAGAGTTTAAAAGGTTTGAATAATTTTTTCTGGTTAGCGTTTTTTTAGCGAGTTAGTTTTCTACGGGATGGGGACGCTAACCCCATGCCCAACCCTCCTGCTTTATCCGGGCTTGGGACCGGCAGTAGCCCCCGGAGGGACTCCAGGCGGAGTTGGAGATAACACAACCCTGTCTAATCGTGATCTGGACAGAATGTAGTCTCCCGAGCACCTTGAGTAAAAGGGCGATCGTGTCTGGGGTACGTTTCTCAGCCACCAAATGTGAAATGCGACTTCAAAACAGATCTGTCATTACCTAGATCGCAGAGAGTGAAATAGTTAATGACATCAACCATTTCACTGGTGTGTTGTTGTCTAATGCAATCTCAGCACAAATCCGAAAGCTCGCCTGGCTTTCCCCAACTTGCGTTACTTATATGGTGGAGACGTCCATCTGTCAACCAAACGATGAGTATCGTCCCACAACAGTTCGCTCTGTATTACTTTATGACTCTGAAACTTGGTCCATGAAAGGAGAAGGCCGCAGGTTATTGGTCAGTCTTTAAAGCATTGCTCCTGTCTAGTGGAACGACAAAGTCGTCGGTAGTGCGAATGGGCATAGGGTATTTAGTAAAAGTGACAAATCAGTTGAAAACATATTGATTCTTTGACTGAAGTGGCTGGAACATGTCTCACGTACCA